TTTTTCTACCTGTAGATCCACCTTAGGGAGACCATATAAAATGACCAAGTAGCATTTGTATGTTGACTTGTACACTCACAGTTTGATTTTTCTTCCTAAATACAGATGTATTTTCAAATAGAATGCTAGGCTATTTGTTTGTTTGCTTGCTTGTTCGTTAGTTTTGAGAGACAGGGTCTTGTTCTATTGCCCAGGCTGGAGTATGGTGGCACAATTATGGCTCACTGCAGCCTCAACCTCCTAGGCTCAAGTGATGCTCCCAGCTCAACCTCCCAAGTTCTGGGACTACAGCCATGTACCACCACACTCTGCTAATTTAAAATTTTTGTAAAGATGGGTGTCACTGTGTTACCTAGGCTAGTCTTGAATACCTGAGCTCAAGTGATCCTCTCACCTCAGCCTCCCAAAGTGCTGGGATTACAGGTGTGAGACACTGTGACTGGCCGGCTATTTGTTTTTTAATCGATTCTCAACTTTAATATTGTTGTACAATCAGTTAAAGAATAAAGGTTTACAAATAGATTATTCTGTGCTGTCTTTATTGCTTCAATCCTCATTCCTTCATTTAGTAGACAAGTATTGTGTGCCTATTTTATGCTAGGTATTGTGTTAGGTATTGGAGATACAATCATGGGTAAAAACAGATATGGCCTATGGTTCCACAAAGTAAACAGTTTACCTAGAGAGACAGGCATTAATCATATGCTAATCAAATAATAGTAGCATTTCTATTGTAAAAAAATGTTATCTGGGAAACATTAACTAAAACAGTACAGAATAGAGACTCAATCTTTGGAAGGATTGGTGGGGAGGGAGAGGGTCAGGGGAGGCTTCCATAGGGGGAGTCTTTGGAGCTGAGTTCTGAAGGATAAACAAGAGCATACCAGGTGAAGAAGGAAGGAATTGAAGAAGAATTCCAGGAGAGAAAACAACATGTGCAAATGTCCTGAGGCAGAGTACATCCAAAGAGCTGAGAGAGGCTGCATGTGTCTGGATCATAACAAACGAAGGGTGGGAGGCAAGAAAGGCAGATGAGGCTGAAGAGGAGATTGCAGTGCAGCTAGGCATTTGAGGGCTTATAAGTCATAGCAATAATTCTATTGTCTATTTTTTTTTTTTTTTTTTTTTTTTTGAGATGAAGTCTCACTCTGTCACCTGGGCTGGAGTACAGTGGTGTGATTTCAGCTCACTGCAACCTTTGCCTCCCGGGTTCAAGGGATTCTCCTGCCTCAGTCTCCTGAGTAGCTGGAATTACAGGTGCCTGCCACTATGCCCAGCTATTTTTTTCACCATGTTGGCTAGGCTGGTCTTGAACTCCTGACCTTGTGATTTGCCCTCTTCAGCCTCCCTAAGTACCAGACTTACAGGCCTGAGCCACTGTGCCTGGCCTATCCTAAAGTTTTTAAAGAGACTGAAGTGACATGATTAGATGCACATTTTGAAGACACCATGTAGAATGCACTTGAGAGAATGGACTGGCAGTGACCAGAGTACAACCCAGGAGACCTGTTATATTATTTCTGGATTTCAGAAGTGAAATAACAGTGACAAAGATGGGTAGAAGTTGCTGAACTATTAAAAACATTTAGGATGTAAAACCATCAATCCGTGGAGATGTATAACTTGTGGGAAGTAGAGATGAGAGAGGTGTCTAGAATAGCTTCCAGACACCAGTTTCAGTAAGTGGACAAATATTACTGCAGTTTACTGAGACAGGGAACAAGGGAGGTAGGCTACATTTGAAAAGAAGATATCTTGGATTTGGTTTGAGATGAGTGTGCAGTCAGCTAACTTCATATCACCTTTATTCTTTACTCACATGATTCTCCTACTTTTGTTTCTATCCATTTATTTTTTCATTTAAAAAATCATTATTAAGCACTTACTATGGGATTTAAAAATGGGTGAGACAGACATAGTCATTCAAGGAGTCTCTAGTTTTGGAGAAAGCAATTAAAATCGGTACTACTATTGATTAAGGAAAAGAAAAATATTACTAAAACATAGACGTACACCTCAACCAAAAGTGGGGGTGGAGGCTGGAAAATCTTGGAAGGTTTTCCAGTGGGAAATGCCTCTGATGAAACACTTATTAAACTTCCAGGCCCTCCTCCCTCCTCACCCCCTAACCAACACACTTAAATTTCTATTATCATTTATATTCCAAGACAAACACAATATGAAACATTCTGGGAAACTAAGAAGCCACATGGGATTTTGGACTATATGTGGAAAGCAGGAATGTCATGTTATAATTCCCAGAGCTTATTAACCGGCTACTTCTGATTAATTTAAATCCATTCATGTCACTCTCAAAGCATCCTTAGGGAATTCTTTTCTAATTGTACAAACGACTCTCTCCAATTTGACAGCATTCTTCAAGTCATACTTCCACATACCCATCAGAGGGATGTTACCCATGTGTCATGACAATTTTCAAAGAGAAATAAATTCTCACCAACTATAATATTCAAGACACTTATTTAATTTTTCACCTCTTATTTGCATATAGAACTGCCTCTATTCTCTTGGTCCCACTGAGGTCTGGTTCTTCAGGTTGCTTTATTCCAGCTGTCCTCTGCTTTTTCTTCCTTGGTTCTCCTGTCTTGATACCTCATCTTCCACTGATCACTCCCTTTTTTCAAACAACACTAGGTCCTCCTCATACCCTGTGCTCTTACTCACAGAAGGCTACTTGTGGTTCCTCAAAATACTCCACCCTCTTTCATGCCTTTGTTCGTTTATACATACATTACTGTCTCCTCTTGGGATACGTCTCCCCGCTTACCTACCTGGGCAAGTCTTATCCTTCAAGACCGATATCAAGCACTCTCTGCTTTATGATCAACCCGCATCACTTACCAAACTTCCTCCAAATCTGGGGAATTGAGTATTCCTCCTCTTAAGTCAAACCCATCATACCGTTTACACTTATTTAAGATAGTCTGCATCTTTACTGCGCCAGGATCCTGACTGTGTATTGTTTCTCTTTATATCCTCTTTACCCAGACAGTGCCTGACAAGAAGTGAACACTAAATAAGTGACTATTGAATAAATCAATTATTTGACAAATTAATACCAAAGGATGTCAAAAAGGACTTCTCAAATATGTGAGAGGGAAGTATTGTTCTAAAACAAAAACATTGTGGAATATAACCAGCATGAAGAGGGAAGGTGGGAAGCCTTCCTCTTCCATGTACCAATAACCCTTTGAAGTGAAACAAAATACAAGAGCACATATCATATACTTCAGTAATTTTTCATCCATCTATCCATATATCCATCATTTTTTTCTTCCATTTACCTATATCCCATATATCCACCCTTTGAAGTGAAATAAAACCCCAGAGTGCATACCACGTACTTCATTTATTCCTCTATTCATTTATACACCTACACAACCACTCCTATACCCATCCATGTATGTATCCATCTGTCCATCCATCCATCCCTCCTTCCATCCTTCCATCCTTCCATCCATCCATCCATCCATCCATCCATCCATCCATCCATCCACTTAGCAACCTATCAATGTATCAATCCATCCATCATCCAAATGCACTGTGCTACGCACTATATCAAACAGGTGAGAAGCACAGGGAAAACCTGCCTGTAAACCAGACTCCATTCCAGAAGAATTAGGGAAACAACTGGTTGTCTAAAAAACTTCCAAGATGATCAAGAGAGACATGATAGTGGTTTAAATTAAGACTAGGAACACATCAGTTTTTTTGTCTTTTTCTCTTAAAATACCCTGATCTCTGAATTAACATTATGTCCCTTCCAGTCGTCCATTTTCTCTGGAGGATTGAACTAAGATTTTGAGGCTGGTCTGTGAATTTCATATTTGCTTCAATGATCCTTTCACATGTTCACATACTGCAGATGGGTTGGCTTCCATCTGACCTGTGGGGATCAGCTCGGCTATTTCAGAGGTGTACAGAGTTGCTTCCCCTGCATTAGACTGCTCTTAGTATTATACATTTTGATGCATAATGTCTATTCTTTGATTTTTCCTCTCCTCTTTGCCCTGCAGAGCTCCACAGACTTTAACCGATTTTCTGTGGCTGAAACATGTCCCCACCTTGCACTCTCTGCAACTTTTTGACAACTGCCACAAAATCAGCAATCTTTTTTTTTTTAATTCGTCACTCCTTTCTTTCCTTCAGATAAGTCATTTTTACTGAGGCTGTCACTACTGCTGGAGCAGGAGGGCCTGTTGCAAGGGAGACGGGGCCGACCTGCTCTCTGCCCCCACTGAGAGGCCGTGTTTCTCCTCTTGTTTACAGTCTCTAGCACATGGCAGGTTTTTCTCTCCTCCTGCCTGCCCTGCCCTGCCCTGCATCCAGCCATCACTTCTTGTCATCTCAGAAGCTTCAAGTAAATTCTCTTTCATTTTTGCAGTTCCTCACAGGCTCAGTTACTTAGCCAACTTGTTTTTCCTCCCCACATGTCAAAAGTGACAAATGACTGTTCTGAGACCATATGACAGATGAGTCAGCAAGAGGGCTGCCAGGTGATGTGATTTTTCCTAAGGCAACCCAGTGACTTGCTGAAGAAAGGGGAACTGAGAAGTGAACCAAGATAAAACAAAAACCAGAAAACAAAAAACCCTCTTTTTAATAGGAAAAGGTGTAGGCCGCTCCCCATCTGCTGGCTAGATGCGAATGAGCCTGCAGGGGGCTCTGTGCACAGGGGATAGGCAGAGCAATGACACTGACGGAGCCTGGGTCACTGCCTCTCTGTGGAGATCATTTACCCAACACACACATGAGCAAGCATTGTATCCTCTTAAGCCACTGAGATGCAAGGATTGTTGGGTACAGCAATTATCTTCCCCTGACTGAAATAAAAGGGATATGAACACTCACAGAACTTTTAGGGGAGAAGGGCACTGTGCTGCTCCTTCCACATGCCCAGGAATCAAAGGCGTGCAGAGTGAGGCTCTACCACAGTGCACATCCTTAGTAAGACAGGGGCTTTAACACAGAACACTCACTGATGGATCCTTTGCTGGCTGAAAGGGGCAGTGTAGCAGTCATTCTCCTCCAGGTCTGGCAGTGTCTCCTTGTCCAGCCTCATTGGCTTCTTAGGTAACCATCTCCGAAACCTGCTTATTTGTTTATCGATCCTGTGGTACATGGAAGGCAAGACCAAAGGGTACAGCATGTCAGCATCACCCTGAAACACAGGAGGGAAGTCTCCACAGAGCCACAATAATCACACCACACATTCCAGGCCCTCTTACTGCACTCATGATATCCTTGTTTTATAGATGGACAGAAGACAGCTGGAACTCTAGTGTTGTTTTCATTTCACCAAGTGGCCTCCATAGTACTACTGTTTGTGAAATAGCAGCTGTGAGTTAGATGTCCACCCACATGCCAGTAATAAATGATCATGCAGTCCTAACAAGGCTAGAAAGCTCTGAAAAGGATTCCAACAGTCCCTTAAGCAAAGCAGCAGATACCTTAGCTTATATTCTGTAGGTTCTAAAAAATTCATTTTGTTTTGGAAAGCATCTGAGGTCAGAAAAGAGCTCTAGCTATAGTTAACTTTGGGGAGGGGGTACGGGCAGCACACCCTAGGGGCCGATTGTGTACAGAGAGCTCCATGCCATGATTTGCTTCCTGCCTCTTCCACCTCCGTGAGCAGCTTCTCACCAGGCAGCAGAATTTTTGGCCTTCACTGATCTCATTTTAAGCTGGCTCTACAGTTTTCATGGTGCCAGGGCATCATGACACACATGTGTCACTCTGGCCAATGCATATAATGATGCCAAGTCAGTGAAAACAACAGTATCCTAAAACTGGTTTTCAGCCACAGTTTTCTCTCTGGCTATTTCCCTGGTCCCTTGGTGCCAATGACTTCTGCTGATGAAAACATCTGGCTTCCAAGTGAACAGTTCTCAATCGCTGTTTACAGAAAAATACCAGAAGGAACAAAAAACACACTAAACTAAAATGATAGTGCTACCTCAAGTTTCTATAGTGCTGGAAAAAAATACCTTCTAAATTTATTAACTGAAAACACATGGAATTTGGTCAGGCTTTTTTTCCTAATTAAAAAAATATATTTACATGGCAGTGTATTCATTCAGTGAATGTTATAGCTAATTTTCTGTGTCAACTTGGCTAAGTAAGAGATGCCCCGATAGCTGGTAAACATTATTTTTGTGTGTGTCTGTGAAGTTGTTTCCTGAAGAGATGAGTATTTAAGTTTGCAGACTCAATTTGAGTACAGAAGTTGACCCTCACCAATGCAGATGGGCACCATCTAATCCATTGAGGGCCTGAATAGAACAAACACGTGGAGGGAGGGTGAATTTGCTGTCTGCTTAAGCTGGAACACCCATCTTTTCTCCTGCCCTTGGACTTCGGCCTTCCTGGTTCTCAGGCTTTTGGACTGGAAATGGGACTTACACCATCATGTCTCCTTGCCCAACTTCTTAAAAACTGCAGACTGTGGGACTTCTTACCCTCCAGAATCTTATGAGCCAAGAGTGCAAATCGTGGTCCAAGTCTAAAGGCCAGAGAACCAGGAGCACTGATGTCTAAGGGCAGAAGAAGAGAGATGTCCCAGCTCAAGCGGCAGCAAATTCACTCTTCCTCCATCTTCTAGTTCCACTCAGTGGGTTGGATGGTACTCACCTGCATTAGGGAGGATCAGCTTCTTTACTAAGTCTACTGATTCGAATGCTCATCTCTTCTGGAAACACTATCACAAACACACCCCGAAAAAATGTTTTACCTGCTCTCTGGGCATCCTTTAGCCCAGCCAAGTTGAACACATAAAATTAAACATCACAGTGAAACTCTCAGCTGAAGAGAATATTATGTATATTACCAATCAATTCCAAACTAAAAAATAATGGTAAACTCTTTGACTATCTCCTTTATTCTCAGCATTGTTCCAGTCTCACCATGACCCCAGCTCTGCTTGGTAGTGGCTGTCCTTCAGAACTCCTGAAGGTTCAAACTGAAAAGAATCTCACAGTGGCTCTAGGTCCCTCCTCTCACAGAGAACCCTCCACCCTAAAATAAGTATACTAAAATAAAATGAGATAATGGGCTTTAGAGAAGCACATGACACAGTGGTTGACAACATGTACTATGGGGCTGAAGTGCCTAGATTTAAATCCTGACTCTGTTAATATTAACAGCATAACCTGGGGCAAGTGATTTAACTTTGCTGTGCACCAGTTTCCTTATCTATAAAATGGGCATGATAATGACACCCAATTTGTAGAGTTGTGATGATGAACTTGTTAATACATACATAAAGTCTTTAGAACTGTCTGGTGTACAGGAAATGCTGGCTATTATTACTGTTTTTATCTTTTTTCCAAAAATAAAAAATTGAGCAACCAGCTTGCCTCTTAACATTTCTGTCTGTTTTGCTTTTTAATTCAAAGTTAGTTGTGCTTCACCAGCATCTATCACTTGTCTATGTTCAATGATTTAGTCCTTATATGGACTCATAAATTAGACTTCCTCAGCTAAGTTGGTGGCCTTCTTCATGGCTCTTGGCTTTATTTCATTTGATTGTCTTAAAACTCATTCAAGAAAGAGGACATTGGCCCAAGGTTTTTTTATTATAAAGCTTTTACCTCCCACACATCTCCAGTCTGCAGCACTAATCAGATCACACTTTGTAAAATTCACATTCCCACAGAATCTGAGCTCTGTGTGTGATGACTATGAATTGAATCCAGCTGGGTACAGTGCTCAGCATGGATAAAAACAAATAAAGCTGTAAAAAAAACAATCAGGCATAACCACTCTATAGGAGTGAAATGGCAGCTTTCAGCAGCCAGCCTGTGGCACCACAATTTAAACAAAATATGGAAATGGTGAAAGAGAGTAGAACAGGGTAATTAAAATGATTAATTAATTGAAATATGTGAAAAAGAGGAAGCGAGAAGGAAGCCAGAGAACGCTGCTTGACATGGTGAAAAGAAGCTGAGATTTGTAACTGGGGTGGCTAAAACTTGGCTCTGTTGTGCCTCAGTTATATGACCTTCTACAAGTTATTACCCTTCAGAGCCTTCTTTTCCAGGGTTATAAAATAGGGGCAATAGTAACAATAGTCATCATTATCATTATCATCATCTTACTGACCTTACAAAGTGGTCAGTGGGCTCATAAAACATGGTGAGTATGAAGCGCTTTAGAGAAGCTGCCAGACAGATAGCAAGCATTATTAATAATTTCTTGAGGACCACACAGGACTAAAAGCGATGGAAAGCAAAGGAACTGGACTTTTTAAAAACTATGGTGGAAGAAAGACATTCAAAACATCCTAAAAATAAAATCCCCATGATCCACCCACCTTGGACTCCCAAAGTGCTGTGATTACAAGCGTGAGACCAACCAGGCCAACATGGTGAAACCCTGTCTCTACTAAAAATACAAAAATTAAGTCCAAGGCAGGCAGATCACTCGAGGTCAGGAGTTCAAGACCAGCCTGTTCAACATGGTAAAACCCCGTCTCTACTAAAAATACAAATAATTAGCTGGGTATGGTGGTGGGTGCCTGTAGTCCCACCTATTCAGGAGGCTAAGGCAGGAGAATCACTTGAACCCAGGAGGCAGAGGTTGCAGTGAGCTGAGATTGGACCATTGCACTCTAGCCTGGGCAACAAGACTGAAACTCCATCTCAAAAAAATAAAAAATACAAAAATTAGCTGGGCGTGGTGGTGTGTGCCTGTAATTCCAGCTACTCAGGAGGCTAAGGCAGGAGAATCACTTGAACCTGGGAGGCAGAGGATGCGTGAGCCGAGATTGCACCATTGCACTCCAGCCTGGGCAAGAGAGTGAGACTCTGTTTCAAATAAATAAATAAATAAATATTAAAAACAATAAAATCCCCAACACACTGGTTGGGTAAGGGGGTTGGGGGATGCGAACTGGCCTTCATTGGGGAGCCTGAGCAGAAGGAGGTGGACAAAGCATGTTGTCCAGGTTCCATTACACATGCCTGTGCATGCTGTGTTCTCTTCACTATAACTAAACCAAACACTTAAACATGGTCATCAGTTTGTGCCTTCTTCTGGTTACCAGAATTGCCTCCATAAAGATGTACACACCCTAACTTGCAGAACCTGTGAACATGTTGTTACATGGCAAACGGGACTTTGGAGATGTAAGGAAGGTTACAGACCTTAAGACAGAGAGAACATCCTGGATTACTCAGATGGGCTCAATTTAACCACATAAGACCTTTGAAAGCAGAGAGCTTTCTCTGGCAGGGGAGATATGGCAGAAGGAGAATCAGAGATTCAAAGCTTAAGAAGGACTTGACCCACAATTGCTGGATTTGAAGATGAAAAGAGCTAGGAGGCAAGGAATGCAGATAGCCTCTAGAAGCTGAGAAAGACTTTCAGACAGTAAAGAAATGGAGATCTCAGTCCTGTGATTACATGAACAGAATTGTGCCAGCAATCTACATGAACCTGTAAGCAGATTTTCCCCCAGAGCCTCCAGATAAGAGCCCAGGGTCACCAACACCTTGATTGCAGCCTTGGGAAACCTTGAACAGAGAAACCAGTTGAACCTCCTCTCCCTGGACCTCTGACTTACAGAACTGTGAGCTAATACATTTGTGTTATCTTATGCTGTTAAGTTTGTGGCAACGTGTTATGACAACAATAGGAAACTAATACACCTACACCACTCTTGGTCTGATCTTCTCCTCAAGACCCAGCAACAGCTAGCCAGGCTCCCACTGGTAAGCCATTCCACATGCTGTTCTCACCTCCCAGTTAGGTGGCTCTAGGAACAAGAGTCTTTCTCTCTGTGGCAGGATCATGAGTGAGTGCTCCCCTAGTCTGCTCTTCCACAAACACGCTCCTGTCTCCAAACTGGCCATATTCAGACTTCACTTAGGGCCCCCTTCAATCATACAAGACAGAAGCACATAGTGCAAAAGCCACTAGGTTGGAAAGCTAAGACTCAGGCTGGACTCTTGATTCTGTGGTCATACATCAGTGTGGCCTGGGACAAAGCCTTTTATTCTTAGCTAACCTTAGTGCTCTTATCTCTAAAATAATGATCAACCAGATGTTCTTTAGATACTACATGTTGTGGGTGATTTGGGTGATAATACCTTGATTATGTCACTTATGTGAT